TCTCTATAGAACTCATTGAAAAAAACATTGAAATGGTGGCCGAAAATACCAAGTGGTGTGAAAATAAAGTGCGAAGTAACGTCAGCAAGTAAAACTAATGGAGATATCTCGAAAAATGGGCTGATGTAAAGATCCTGAAACCAAAGAACAATCCAGAATTTTAAGGCTAGAAAGTGGGGAGCAGACGACGGTAGTTATTGATTTTCGCTTCAACCAAACCGGTTGACGCAGCAGTGAAATATATTAAGTCAACTAAAACATATTATGCATAAAAAAAAAGTGAAAACCTCATGTAAACGTATGCATTCATCTTTTTCCTTTATGAAAAAGAAACTGTGAAGTGACATGTACACTTGGGAAAAAATCCCCTTTGGTCTACAGGGATCTTCACCAACCATCTGAGCTCGAGCAAGACGAACTGCAACGCGCTCCTGAAAAAGTGAAGGAAATTATGACAACAACGAATATACAGCAAGATTTCTGCTTTCAAATAAGGAAATTCATTACCCGAACAATATAAAATCATGCAGTCAGGATGGGCTTACCTGGTATTTTCTGCAAAAAGCGATGACAAAGGAGGTCGCGAAGCATAAAAGAATTATAATTAATACAAGAGGTAACCTAGGCAGACGTGCAGACAAAATAATAAAAACTGTTGTTAGAAGGAGCACAACACTTATAACAATCAGATAAGGAAGCAGCGTTTCCAGTATTTCGCTAATGAAAGATAGCCGTGAAGATTCAGGTTCCTGATATAATACCAACTTTAAGCCATCACAACTCTCACTTGAACATCAAACATGTTTTAAGTACTCAGTAAATAGATAACCTACCTCTCATATGTTTACTCATATTTGAATGTATTCTAAATTTCAGGTACATGTATTTCGTGTAAAATTCCTCATCTTAGCTTCAAACGCAAATGTTCAAAACTAGAGAGTTAATCTCAAAACGTTCAATTACAACTGGATACAAAGAACTAACAAAATTTTTGTCGTTTTCAAATTAAATCAACTATGATTACTATTTCATGTCAAGTCACATGTTTTACTATACCTCAACTATGACTTTTCTTGGAGATTTTATTCTAACTTCCGGCCAAGAGTAGGCGAAAAGTTCAGTATAGCAAGGGCTCCCCGAATCTGCCTTTCCAAATTGCGAAAGAAACCCAGGTTTTTGTTTAGCACAAACATACTCAAGAACATGCAACTCTGCTCAGTCGCCAGACGTTCCGTTGCTTTCACAAAATTTTCAAACACGAGCGAATTTGTAACGGGTTTCTTCTGTACGCCATAAATATATAAGCACTTGCAAAAAACCCACGTACGGTAACAAAAAAAAAAAAGAAGTAAAAAAGCAAAGGCTAGCAGTAAAAGAGAGGCAAGAAATTCGCGCAGTCCAAAAAATACTCGTCGTGCAGTGTGTCGGAAAAGAGAAATTTCCAAGCTTCTGTTTTTCCAAAATCAAAAGTTGTTGAAAATCAGTAAGACTAACCTGAATGACAGGAAAACAAGGCTCCAAAGGCATTCATTACAAACAAAAATTTAGATTCTCTTTACAATTCGTCCAGGTACAACTTCAAGCGTTTCTTAAGAGATGCTTTATCTTTAAAAAAAATATGATATCCACGAATTTTGCAAATTTACCTTCAATAAGCCCAGAGGGTTAAAAATAACCGTTACAGTTTGGTGGCCCCACTGTGTTTCCCCGCCCCAGAAGGGCAAAGCATGATAGAAGGCTAAGAAGTTGGTGAAGAACAAAAGTTCTTTTTATGGCGCTTAGAAACATTCCTTTCTCACAGTTTCTGAGGGGGCAAAGTAGCGTTTTTTGCCTTTCAAAAAAACAGTTTGCACTCAATCGATAACAGAATTTCTGCAAGGTTCACTCTGCTTCTTTCTAAACCATAAAGCAAATGAAAATTACTTTCAATTTATTTAGAAAGTTCGCTGAAGCACAAAGAAATTTAAAAACAGAGTTTCGTGGTAAACAAAAAAGTTTGTTTATAAACGAGCTTTTCTGAAGTTTGACAACAAAAACAATTCTTAAAAATCAGCAGACACTATTACACACAAAAAAACCTTCTGATCCAACCTACGCAAGAATGATGTTGCAAACAGTTAACGTCCCCAATTTTTCCCATAATTCACTAATTGGTACAGCATAGTTCTTTG